ACTGCTAAATTAGGGACGACTAGCGCAGATAGCCCTCGTGTAGCTTTGCGCGAAATTCAAAAACAAACAAGCTAAAACTTTATGCAACACTTTGTGCTTATTTTATTTTTTTAATGATACATATAAGAATTTGAGAGTGAAACTATGAAAAGAAAGGAAAAATATGTCAACCACACCATACATCTGCGTTATATGCAATCCCAACAAGTTCTCTCGCCCACTGCCAGGGCTCATATGGCCAGCTGGGATACGACAGTAAATCGAGACACTATTTATATCACCAGTTGCCTGAACAAAATGTTTCGGTGTGAACTAGATTAAGTTGGTGAACTGTAATTTTTTATCAAGTTGTTGCTTTTTGTTGTCTCAAAAAATATTTAAGTTAGGGGCATTAGAATATCAAAAGTATAGGATAAAGATTTGTACATATATATTGGTGGTTTATTCAAATTTGTCCGCAACTTTTCAACGTACAGTTCGATTTTAGGAAATATATTTCATTATTTTGTCGTTCTCATTAGATGCTTTCTTTTCTTTACTACAAAAAGTAAAATAATTGTGTATCGAAGATATCCACGTCGTCCTTATCGCATAGTTCACCAATTGGTCTTCGAGTCCTTTAGATCTATGTTTCTTAACCACCAATCTGCGAACCGTCAACGATCTGTCATAACCACCTTGCCGATCTGTGGGATTTCACGAAAACAAATAAAAACTGGAAAAATATTCATATGTAAATCGTAATGGTTCTTCGTTGTACTTGTATTTTAGTGGTCCGCGAAAGTTAGCCAAACGCTGCTTTAGATAACACAGACAACGTATTTTATCTAGTTTAGCAGTAACAAGAAATTGGTCTTTTAGGTAGCAAGGTATTCTATTTGCAATAACCACAATATCATAACTACCTACAAAATACGCCTCGCTGTTTAACGCAATAAAAATATTATATAAAGATTCAGCATATTTTAACACGTTCGAAAATCCTAACAAATGACTTATTTCACTTTTTTTCTTTTTGTTTGTTTGTTTGTAATTAAACACAAAGCTACACAATGGACTATCTGTATTCTGTACACCACGGGTATCGAAACCCGGATTCTAGCGTTGTAAATCCGCAAACATACCGCTGTGCCACTGGGGGGGGGGGGGGCTTTTCTTTCTGAGAGATCATTTCCTGATTAGTTTCTTTTGAAAGTTTTTGTTGATGATGTACTTAAGGATTCCTTTCAACTTCTCACTGTAATAGCATGAACAGTTTTGTTGTTCGTAAGTACATCCGCATGATGTCATACGTCTTGTATTTCCGAAGTAAACAATCTTACGCATTGTCGTGGACAAATTTCAAGAAGAAAATTGCGCGCAGTACAACGAACGGCACTGGCAGATAATACTTGAAAAAATAGTACTTATTTTAGTTTGTTTTAGTTCAAAGCTACTCAAAGGGCTAGCTGCACTTTGTACACCGCAGGGAATCAAACCTCACATTTTAGCGTTGTAAGTCCGTAAACGTACCGATGACCCATCGGGAGACACTTATTTTAGGTATAGTGATTACTAGGGTATCAAGTTCGTATAGAGATTGAAAACTATTTCGGGTTGAAGCAGCAATTATGTAAGTGTGTGTATATATATATATATATATATATA